TAGGCAACTTGTTGTTGCCCGGAGCCAATGACGAAACCAGCTTCAATATCATCAATAGCTGTGCGAATCTTTAATAATAATAATAATAATAATAGCAAAGTATCATGTTAGTTGCCCACATGAATCAGGGCTCGAAAAAAACTTGAATTCCAACTTGCCCTTGGGACAAGTATCTCTTAAAGTTTGCTTGCCCACGGCAAGTCTTAGTTTGCCCTTTTAATGATTTAGTTGGCGGATGACTTGCTTGGTCTTTTGCCCATTGGGCAAGTGAGAATGTAAAGTTACTTGCCTGGAAGGAAAATCTACTTGTCCGGGGCAATGGGACGGCACTTTTTTCGAGCCCTGAATGAATGTCAATTATCACTGATAATTTGATGGTGTAGTGATTGGAGTACAAGGGAAAAATTGCTTTTTATATGAACTAGCTGACTCTTACTAAATAGAATAGCATCTTCAAGGACTTCCTAGCTCAGTGATAGACAAAATAGGTCCGCAATGCGTACTTGTGGTCTTATGTTCAGTTTTATTCCATTCAGTTGGAATGTTGTCTTTAAATGTCAGTATCTGGAAGTTGAATTGCTACAAGTGAGAAGGGAGACAAATCATTACAATTTTAAGCGGGAAATGCTTGGCAGGATACTGTTTACTTAGATACTTTACCCCTAATAATAATTATTTACTTAGCTCTTAGTCCCAATAGGACATAATACAAAAACAATCTCTCAATTTAGCCCTATTTTGTGCATTGTTCCATGTGAGTTTAAACTCTCTGAGCTCAGCACTGTTTACACATGTCAAGTGAAATCGTACATGTAGTGTCAAGATGTTTTGCTGCTTCAATGACTAAGCCTGTTTAATAAATACATAACATCAACAACTGAGTCCCGCAGGGTTGTAAGTTGATTTTAAATTAGCGGGTTCCATCCAAAAAGTAGGCGGCTAAGGTTTGCGTGAAAAACATGCCACGGAGCTGCTGGGCAAGACACACACTGCACATCGTGCAGGAGAGTATGGGAGGGCTCTCCCCCTCCCATTGGGAAAATTCTTGAAAAGTGATTTCCTGAAATGTAATGTGGGGCTACTTTCAGCCAACATTGTGTTCAATTCTAGATGATTTTCCTACTCTTAATTAGTTATTCTCAAATCCAGTGTTCATATAAATGACACAGCAAAAAGGCTAGGGAAGATTGACTCACTCAAGCAAATCACTCTAAAAAACAAACAACTAGAAGATTTCAACGATAAAGTGGAAATATTTCATTTAAGTTTTGCGTGTCTTACTATTGTTTTTTTTTCTTGATATTTTCTATTTTTTCTTCATTTCTTTTAATTTGATGCAATGTAAATCACACTTGTACCGTTACTCTGTATAACTCTACTGTACTGTATTTGTATTTTGTGCAATGAAGCAAAAGTTCTATTAAAAAAAGGTCAAGGAGGCAATTAAAAAAACCTTTTCAATCTTTTTCTCTTTGGACTTATTTCATAAAATGTACTATTATCAAACTGTCTTTTTAAAAACTTAAAAACCCAGTGGGATTAAAATCTCATCAACAGCCCCAAAAAAGAAATTAAGATGGAATACACCAGTTGTTTGAGTAACAAGTGGACAAAAACCTAGTACCAACATTATTTACATCGTATTGCAAACTTCTGTATGACTGTTTTGAATATCTTTGCAAAAAAAATCATTTCTAGCAATACCAAACATCAAAATCGAATGTTGAACTTCATAGGAAACACTTGAAAGTACTGGTGAAATGAAACTGAAATTTTGCCTGTGTTTGCACAAGTTCTCTGAGCTTTGAAATTTATTTTCTCTCATTCCCATGGGAAACTGTTTTCAGTGTTATTTCAGGCAATTATTTATGTATTTAGCTTTAAAAAATGTAAACATAGGCACGCAAGGCGTGCAAGAGTTTTTTTTTTTGTAAAGTCTCGGAAATAGGAGCATTCATGTCAAATTAACCAAATCATTACTGTGAGTTACAGTAATGATTTGGTTAATTTGACAAGTTGTTTTGGTTGCGATGTACAGCAAGAAAGAAACTGGGAATTTATGATGTACATACGATGTTACATCGGTAATGGTAAGATAGCTAAATAGTAAGCCATAAAATGTTTGACTGAACAAACTACAGTAAACTGACACGTCTACAGATTAATATAGATACCATCTTATTTTTTTCTTCGATTCGTTCTTTGATACAACCCACACTGTGATTTGTGTGACACGCACACATGTATAACTCATGCACCGATCACATCGCCCTTCCAACCCCCAAGAGGAATTTTTGCTCAAAAATACTCAAGTTAAGAGAACTTTTCGCATTTTATAAGAGTCGTAAGTTTACGCTTTTTACACAACACAACACAACAATACTACTTCGCCAAAAATAGAAACAGAGAAAAAAAACCTCTCTGACACATTGAAAGTTTGATTTAATTAAATTGTACTTTAACTTGGTGCCCCGCAGTCTTCAAAAAACATTTGAGCAGTTTTGATACTTCTATCTATTGGACTGAATGTCATAAAATGCCCATCAAATAAAAATAACCTGCCACTGCAGAGACGTATAAACCGTCCAGAAATGAAAGCTTCTTTTTTGTTTAATATCCTGGGAACAATAGCCAATAACCTGTCAGCTCTAATTGAATTTACTCCCATATGAAAAACAAAAGTGTTAATTTACCATTTGTAACTAAAGATAGCAAACGTCTCGTGGGAAAGAGTGGTGACGATTTGTCAGCTCTAATTGAATTTACTCCCTTGTGAAAAACAAGAGTGTCAAATTACCCTTTGTACCAAAAATAAAAACTATCTCATTATATTTGCATGTAACAAGAACAAAACAATCGTCACCTGCACTTACTATTGTAAACGTTAGAACTGTTTCAAATCTAAATAATCTCCTCTAAAACATGTCCTAAAAATGAGAAGTGACGATTCGTGACCTCTACTTGAATTTACTCCTTGTGAAAAACAAAAGTATTGAGTTACCTTTGTAACTAAAAATAAAAATATCTTGTTGCATTTGCATACTACTAACTCACGAACTGTTTCAAACCTCAAGACTCATCTCATTCGTAACTAAAATCTTCAGCCTAACCCACAGAAAATGTCGAAGTAAGTCCAATATATGAATACTTCCTCCCCTTCTATAGAAGAATAAATGTGGCCGTTCTAAACTGTGTCAGGATCAAATCCTCTCACATACCATCTACCTTTACAACAAGAAATTTGATTGGCTGTTTACAGTAGATCCAATCTGATTTGTGTGACATACAAACATCTCTCTTTACGAGCAAGAAAATTGCTGAAGAAATCAAAGTGATAGAACCCAAACCACCTCTTGTTAACAAACAATTTGTTGTTTATGAATACAAATGTGATGTGTGACGCAGATTATGTGGGCTATACATGCCGACACCTATTTCAGCGCATTAATGAGCATAAGCATTCTGTCATTGGTAAACACCAGCGGGACACACACGATCTGAGGAACAAAGATCTCCGTGACCAATTTACAATCCTCAAGAAATGCCATCGGAAACTGGATTGTTTAATTTATGAAATGCTCTTCATCAAAAACAAAAAACCAACACTTAACACTCAATCTGACTCCGTTAAAGCAAAACTTTTTATTTGACAGTTCAAGCACACCACGCTTGGTATTTTTATTTTTATTCATCGACTATTTTGTATCTCATAATCATATGCACTGAGACCTTCACACGAACATTCACTATATAACGAACTTACGTAACATATCTTATTTGAATTTGATAATGATGGCATGGAGCCGTCGAAACATCATTCTTTAATATCGCTGCTTTTTATTCTTAATTGTTTATCGAAAACCTTATTTATTACCAGATTTTTGTCCACTAAAACCTGAAATTGCTTGATTTTCTATCGGATTTTTTCTTAACATTTTACTAATTCACAGAATCAATATTTTGTCTAGCAGATAAATTTAATTTAGCAATTATGCACACAGAAATCCACGGCTTTGAAATGTTCGATATTTTGGTGTTTTCTTGGCTTTACCTTACATAAAATTTAATTTGAAAAAAAGTTCAATTCAAGTTTCCTTCCTATTTTAATCTTAAGTTCAGAATTTTAGATGTTTTTGTAAAAGTGAACGTATTTGACATGCACGCGTGATGTGATAAGCATCTTGTTGGGACTTCTCTTCTAAATTTAATATTAATGTTCGCTTCAAAAAAATGATGCGCTGAGGTGTAGAACATTTTATGGCTAATTAAATCAGTTTCGATTTGTGTCACCCACTTTTTTAGCAAATACTTTATTCCCTCCAATCCAATTTGGGTTCAGACAAATTAATAACTGAACAATTTTATTTCCATTTTATTTCTCCAATATCAGACGCAGGACTAACCTACTAGCATTTGGAGTAGGTGGTGAAGTTTTCAAAATAGTGGGTTAAATGTGCTGGTTGCCGGCTTATTTTGACAACCCTGTAATTGGCTTGTGAGATACTGGCTTGTGGAGCAACTCGCACTGGATTTCAAGCCTATAAATGTGGGCTTGCACAAGCGTATTAGTTTCAGTGCAATCTGCACTAAACACAAGCCTCTAGATAAGAGTCTAGATAAGTTGGCTTGCATGAGCAAACAACTCCCGTATTGCTGAGGAAACTCACTCAGCAAAACCTGAATGAAATAACAAAGAACAAACAAGGCAGCACAATTAATTTTCAAAATGAAAGGAAGAAAACCAATCATAAACAGCACGACAGAGCGATTTTGAAATAGAAATAACTTACCCTGAACAATTACAACTAATTTGTGATGGAAAGCTCTTCAAAATTTTCACAAAACAGGTAAAATGGCTCCAATTACACAGTATGACAATGATACATGAGAAGCAATGGCTGACAGAACAACTTGAAAACAATGATTCGCAATTACTAGTAACCAGTCTACCTGCCGGACTATTTATACTCCCAGAGATCTGTCACGTGTCATCTCGTCCTCCAAGTGACTGACTACACTCAAGATCAGCCTCTGACTTTGTGGTCTGTATGCATAAAATGCATAAGACCACAAAACGGGTTATTAAGCCTCCTGGATTTACAACTGCTCAAAACCTCCAAAGATCTCTTACATGTTAGAGGTACAAACACAACTCAATTGAAAGACCAACCCAACAAGTAAATAGTAGAGAAACTTCTAAAATCAATTTCAATAAGTGGCATACCAATGCTTTGGTCTATGGTACGGATGTCCTTTGCAGCTTCTTCAGAAGATTTAAATGGATTCAGCTTGAACCACTTTAGCAAGAATCTGCACACATCATGTGACCACTCCACAGCCAATGAGCTCGCTTCACCACTCACCCTAACACTGGCTGGTATCTTCATAGTGTCCATGAGTTCAGTAGTAAACTATGCAAGGAAAACACATTTATTGAAGTTTTAAAATTCTTCTTAGCTATATACCCAGCATGGGCTACCTTATGGGTCACCCTCCCATAAAGAAATTACTAGTGTAATTATTATTGATTAATTAGCATTAATAACTAAATTTTTACCCTTGAACAAAGACTTAATATTTCTTTCTTGTTTTGTTTCTTTTTTTTTTCATTTGTTTTATTAAACCATGCATGTACTTATTATTTAAAAACCATTTGCTGAAATGCAGTGTTTGCCTTTCTGTTTCCTTTCTGGAATTCATAAAAAAAAGAGGAATAATAGCAGAATAGCCATGAACAGGCCTACCGAGTTGAGAGAGGATATTTGCAGATTTTTAAAAAAATGCTAAATGCACATTTCATCAGCCTATTTGTTTTACTAGGACATGGAAAAACACTCTTCAAAGCAGAGGAAAGGATCGTTTGGAGAAGCTGCCTTGTCAGACATCAGCGATTAAATTCCTCGATAATTCTGTGGCAATCAACTTCTGTGCCAGAAGAAGCTAGAACAAGGCATCGACAAAACATTCGTTTGTGGATCCTTGCGATTTGCACTTCTGTTCAAATGTGGGAACGCGAAGACCGTGCAAAATCGCCTAGTCTATCACTTAAGAGATGAAAACAATTAACAAAAGTGAAGATTTCTGTGCGAGAAATTGCAAGACGTAAGGGATAAACAAAAGAAGCGAAATTAGACTCCACGGATGAGATTGGTTGCCACGAAAATTGTTACTGCTCAACTCAAGGGTTGATGCATTTTAATTGGCTTATCACAGTTTGCAGTTCATTGACTTGTTTAAAAAATTTATGTTATTCTGGATAACTCATTCACATTTAAAGTTCTTAAAATGATTTTTTTTTGCAAAATTCAGATAAAGTAGAAGTCTTAAATTTGGTGTAAAAACATAATTTTGGACAAAATAGCCCTTGAAGGTCTACAGTAACCTTAAGTGCAAATCTGGCCCTGTTTACAACAAATTAACCCAGCATGAGCCCGCGATCCGATCAAAAACCAGCACTTGGTCAACTTCAAAACACAATCATGTGACCTCGATGAGCTCTAAACTTGAGCCTGCGATATGGTCACATGATACTGGTCAGCAGATACTTTGTACTGAAAGGTGTCAATTGACCATAACATGGATGTCCAATATCAAAAAAGGATGCTATAAATCAAGGTTGCATGTCTCTGTCAACCTAACAGCTGGAGTATGGCTGCCATCTTGGGCAACTCCATCATTGCCGTTGTGCATACCCCCCCCCCCCCACAAGCAATACTACTAGTAGCCTCTTCCAGGCATTCAGCTAGTTGGGGCACAGTGATTGCTCTATATTATAGCAGGAGCCCCTTACTTACCCATTAATTGATTTTCTCATGGTTATCATGGCTAGCGGTATAGCCTCCTCCAGGCATTCAGTTAGTTGGGGCGAAGCGCGAAAAACAGCATGCAAAAAAATCAAAAAAGTGCAGAGAGAGGAAGCAAAAGTACACCTGTGGGCAAACTTAATAAAAGGTCGCTCCGGTATACCAGTATCTGATATACCCTCTGACTGGTCAATTTTGACAGGTTTTGTCAACACTCGAGAGTTACTGAAGCAGATGAGTGAGACCTTTCAATGAGTGGTGTGGTGTTCAAATCTGCAATAAACAACAAGCTAAAAGATTTTGCCTATGTGAAATGCCTTCAAGAAGAACAGAAGGATTGCATAAAAAATATGGTCAATGGCAAAGATGTTTTTGCAATCCTTCCCACCAGTTTTGGAAAGAGTAATCTTTCAACTCTATCCACAAGTAATATCTGCAATGAATGTAAAAGACGGTGTCGTCTCCATGATCATGGTGATGGTTTGTCTAGCTCTAGTGGCCATAATGAAAGACCAAGTTGAACAGTTGAACAAAATCGGAGCTGCAGCAACGACACTAGGTGTTGATGAAGAAGCTGCAAAGAATGGAAATTACCAGTTTGTGTGTAAAATGGGTTGACGAGCCCATACGACTTCTCCGGTTTGTGACATCTGTACATTTGCCGTTCTGTTATCGGTATCTCAACCTTTCACTTCGCAGAGTTTGACACCTCTGTGATTTGCCATGCCATGTTTACACTTTGTTTAGGCTCATTTCTATTGCAAGGTATGTTTTTAAGTTTCTAAGTATTGGCTTTCGAGGGAAAAAGTTTGAAATATTCCGTGGACATGTTGCTAAGTAGCATTCAAAATAAGGTCGACAACTGAAAACCACAAGCTGGCAGTCATGTTATGGGTCCCTGTAGGCGGTCTATTAGTGGGCAGAAGGAGCTTTTGTTAAGTTTGCCCACAGGCATTCTTTCGCTTCCTCTCATCACCACGCTTTTTTATTTTTTCACGCACCGTTTTTCACGTTTCGCCCCAACTAACTGAACACCTGGAAGAGGCTATACTACTAGCCATGATAACCATGAGAAAATCAATTCATGGGTTTCCTTTTCTTTTCTATATGAGTAGGGGGCTCCGCTTGGCGGGCCGCCAAAGCTCCGCTATAATACAGAACAATCACTGTCATTTCTAGTAGTAGTCTACCATTCAGGAGAAATGTGGTACATAGATCGAGCATGTACAAGGGTCCTATGTGGTACAATAAATAAAAACAGCCACAGTCAACTCCCCAGTCATTTTTGACGGCTTTTTTGAAACAAAAAAAGGGTTATAAAAGCACTAATAGGTACAACTAAACAGCCTGTGGAAGAAAGCTCCAAACTGAAAATAAAGATCATATATTCGTCAGTTAACTGTAATGATCTTAGCCAAACAAAATAGGCTCAAAGGTACATGTTCTTGTTGTTAGCTTTGTAGATGCTATCGTTTTTCCTGACAGATTGTCCATCATAAGTATGATCATCCAAATGTTCTCTGTTTTCTGTAAGGACTGTTTTTTTCCTTTTTTGTTGGTTAAAACAACAAACAAATGCTTGGTCAAAAATGTGACCATCATGCAATCAGGACCTCACAGGAAGTCAGATGGTATGTCCCTCAAGTGGACATATCTCTCATCTTGATGTTGGCTAACACCTAAACCATGCCCGATTTATACCTTTACCTTGTAAAAATTCTATTGTCTTGCACAACACTTACCAAGGTTGACATTGACACACAAAACATAACCACTTTAAGTCTTGTTTTTAAAGACCTTGGTTCACAAGTGAAAACAATTTGTTCCTTTAAATGAAATAATTAATTAGCAATTAATAATTAACCTAGTAATTCTTTTTTGGGAGGGTGGCCAATAGGGAAGTTCATAGGTTAGCCCATGGAGTCTGGGCCCAGGGTTTTTCCACACCCACCCTGGCTAACTAAAGTTTCACTACTAGTACCACTACTACTACTCTTAATATTACCTTAATTTTGCAGCATCCAAGAGCTAACACTCTACCCCAGACATGTCGTGAAGAACTTGGGAGAAGAGATGTATTGTCTTGTACAGTAGTGGACAGTAACGTATTGGTGGAACCTTCTGGTAACAAACTCTGACTCTTGTCCATATACAGATATGCATCTTCTAGCCTTATACTGGTGCTGAAAACAAGACTCGTGCATTAAAATGTTACACAACAGTATACACTGAGCATAGTTCTGATTACACAGAGAGCCTGCACTGATGAAAAAATATTTTTTTGTTTAAGCCCTATATATACCTCAGCTCTCTTCCTGTCCTCACATGATGCATATCTGTACAGAAGACAGCAGACAAATGACAATCATATTAATTTTAGAAATGTTTACTACATTACATTGTACCCTCACAGCAGTAAAACTTTCTATTTTTTACCTAGCTGTTACACATATTGCTGCATACATGTATGTTTTAGACTCACTTCAAAATAATGCATGACTGGTGTGAAACAATTACATGTACAAATCCAAGTGAGCAGCACCTTGTGTAAATACTCATCTTTTCAAAAGACAAAATGTTTTCAAATCTCTACGGGCAGGTACAAAAGACAGCCACTGGATCAACTCGGACTAACAGCTCTAGTCGGGTCAACTCAGATCGACTCGGATCGACTTGGATCATAAAATAATAACAAAATAAAAGAGGAAATTGAAACTTTTACTCATTTGAAGGTTAGAATTCCTCTCAACAACAGACCAAATCAAGAAAGACTCGCTACGTTTCTTTGTGTAGTCAAGTCGCCATTTTGTATTTTTAGTACCAATTCCTCTCAGATCAAGTTGCAAACTCATGTCCATCCATCCATCGATATCCACAGACTTGCACCAACTTGTCTAACAGAAAAATTTGATACTGCCCAAAAACAATATAGTCTGAGAAACCTTGATTTTCATATTCCACATTTTCACACAGTTCATTATGGAAAACATTCCTTACAATATTTTGAGCCCCATCTTTGGAATGAATTAGACCATAGTGAGAGAGAGAAACCCAATGTTAAAAGTTTTAACAATAGTAGCAATAGCAAAGACCTAACTGACTTACAACAGATAATTGTGACAAATGTCACATAAAGTAGGCTGCTAGGCCGCCATAAATGTTACATTATTTTTTATATATTATTTGATATCTTATATGTCCTGATATCATATGAAGTTCATATATTCTATTTATTGATTTAGTTAGCTCGTTTGTTTGTTCGTTAGTTAGTTAGTTAGTTATTAAGGTTTTCCCAAATTAAATTGCACATGATTTTAATTTTTTGTAGCCAAGATTTATTTTAATTTATAAATTCCCAATTAGTTTGTTTAAAAGCTAAATACTCTTTGACACTTAAATAAAGTCTTCCTTCTTCTTCTTCTTCCATCAATCATGGACCCAGATGAAGTGATGAAGGGAAAATCTAGGCCATCTTTCTCAATGAATTTGCATCCTTGCAACAAAATGATAGTTTTAGTCATTTAGAATGTATATATTTGCTCATATAACACAACATAAAAGGCCTGTCATATACACATGTGAAGCAAAGAAAGGTCTAGAGACTGCAAAGAGAGTGGCAAATGTACAAATGTCACGAACTGTGAACGGAAGGTCCATTGACCCCATTTTACACTCTACGATAGATAGATGGACATGACTGTATGATTATTCTGTGTATGCATATAATTTTGTTCTCCATGTAACATGCTTTTTTTTGGCTCACTGAATGAGTACAACATGTTTTTCTGCAGTGGTCATGCGTATGAATTTTTTTTAGTACAAGTATGCTTACAAGAATTTTTTAAATCACCCCCAACCCCACAAAAGTCAAATGGTCATCCCACACAACCCAGTGCTTGACACAAGTTTGCAACCTGATCCGAGAGGAACTGGCTCTAAGAATACAAAATGGCGGCTTGACAACACGCAGAGACGTACACGTAGCAAGTCTTTCTTGATTTGGCCTATTTTTGAATGGAATTTTAACCAATTTCAAATGGGCAAAAGTTGCAATTTGCATTAATTTTATTTCTTTCATGATCCAGGTTGATCCACCAATTCAATCTGACCCAGACTGTCGATCTAAGCTAATCCGGTCCGACTTTTGTACCTGCCTACTCTATACTTAGACCGCAGTGACTGGAGAAGGACTGTGAAAACATGCATCCAGTGGAGCAAGGAGCTCAGAGAACAGCATTGGGAAGAGAGGAGAGAGAGCAGATGGCAGAGGGCAGATTCCCTCTCCCTAGTGCCAGGTGCAAATTTCACCTGCAACAACTGCAACAGAGCCTGCTGGTCTGTAATTGGCCTGTACAGCCACAGCAGGCACTGCAACTTAACCACAAAATGAATCATGGCACAGAGTTCTGTTGTCTCCCAAGACAGATGGATGCCAAAAACAATCTATACTACATATATTGCTATATATACATGTAACACTATATTACTACAGATTATATTACAGCAAGTGAAAGACTAATATTGAAATATTGTATCGCTACTGATTTACCCTGTGTGGACATTTTGACATTTCCAGTGAGCAAGGTGAGCACTGCACAACACAAAGGCTGCTCATTCTGATGTGGATGGGAAATAAACATACTTGTGCAGCAATCAGTCACCTCTATGGAGTTAGTCACCTCCAGTTCTGCTGGAAGCCATGCCAAACAACCTACATGCAGCTTTGATCTGCAAAAAAATAATTATAATAAAATGATTTATAATAACTAAGAACTTTGGAATGCACGTACTGTGTGCCTAAATTCTAAGAACCTGATGCTCTGAACATTTATTCCACTTGTTGTTGAGACATGATAATAACGCTCAATAGCTTGTTACCTACTTTGTTGTGTAGGCTAGCAGAACTTGCCCAAATTGATTCTACTTCATTTGTCTGCCATATTGAAAAGTTTTAATCTGTAGATTAAAGTTTTGCAATGCATTATAGGGGGATTGGAAAACTTCTTTTGTGGATAAAACAAGCCAATTTTAGTGTGCAAAAAAGGTACACTAAAAGGAAATAGGAAATAGGTACAATATTACTACTAGCGTTTTGGTACATATGGACTGGAGATGGATTAAACAAGCCTATTTTACCGTTCAAACTGGATCAAGTAAATAGGTATATATATGAAAGGTACAATTGACAGATGTCTATTTAAAGTGCACCTAGCCCCCAAAATTTTTTTCGCTAAAACGAATCTAGACTTTATTTGAAGCATTTGGGCGAAGAAATTTTTGAATTTGGTTGAATCCTCGATTTTCTATGCCCTTTCAAAGTCGCGATTAAGTGTTTCACGACTGCCTTTTAGGGAGTCTGGGGCGGCGGTACCTGATGACGTCTACCCAGGAACCAAACACAATAGCNCGTCACAACAGCCGTTGGACCCATTCTCCTCAAACTCGGTCGTGAAACAAAATGGCGGTGTTTTGGAGCTATTTTCGAGATTTCGTCGTGGCACAGAAAATCGAGGATTTAACGGAATCCAAAAATTTTTGCGCAGAACTATTTCAAATAATAAGTAGATTCGTTCTAGCGAAAAAAACTTTTTGGGGTTAGGTGCACTTTAATGTTTCCAACTGTAAGTGTTCTGGGCCAATTTTTGGCCTACTTAATAACAACTGGGTCCAGGTCTGTAAATCATTGTCCCATTCTGCAGTGTGATAAAAAAGATAGAAATAAGGCATTTGCCCAAATACATAGCACAAAATCTTAATAATAAAGTGTACCGTGACACCTACATGTACTCCTGGTCAACATATATTGCCTCTGAATCCTCTCCTGTTTTTGCTTTTTTTCTCCTGGACTTAAAATATTCCAACCAATAACAGAACTCTTCTTGAACATGGTTATAATGAACTGATTCAGTGTAAAACATGGAAGCCAGTACAATGGTGCCATAATGGCAAGAAAGCTATGAAACAAATTAAGAGAGCTTGTTAATAATGATCAAGAAAATTCTTAACACAAGTTCAATCGTGGTTATTACAATTCTTTTCAGTATGTGAGGTTTTAGGTAAAGACAATATATTATAACAATGATGACCATTCCTATTCGTTACAGGTAAGACAGGACAAATGGACACAAATACTATCAAGGAGTGTACAAATTTTTAGAGGATCAGTAATACAGTCAATTCTTGTAAGTCCAGTACCTTAGATGTAAGCTTCAGTCTACTCCATGCACATAGCTTGTAAGGATACATGCTTTTCAAAGTTACCCCTAATGTTGGGAGGAGAAAGAAATGCTATTAATATGGATAGACAGTTAGCTGAACAGCAATCATAATTTTAATAAGTATTGTCATGACCATGGGAAAAAAAAAGGAGTGATGAACCCACAATCCTCTGTCCACCAAACAGATTCTCTAATGACAGACTAACTAAGTTCATACATATACTAAATCTATATGTATGGGTTACTGACCAGACATGATAATTATGATGTCAACATGGCTTGATATCCAGGTGATCTGTGACGTCATTGCGGGGGCCTGGGGAAAGAAATTTTAATGCCGTATCCCATAAACAAATGCACACACCAATTTAATCTGTTTTCGAATCATGGTGGCTGGGCGGCGTGATGTGAGCTCGATGTTTTAAAAATACTTCACCATCAACGAGTGAGAAGACTTGTCACTGGGTAGCTTGTACAATGCAGTTATTACCAAGAAGAGAAACTCTGCATTGTTGAATGCTTTGACAGCTTTTGGTGAGGAGCGTTGCAGACAATCCAAAACGTAAGCTCGATGTACTCCTGCGTTGTATGAAGTTAGCTTGTTTATTTCTTTGTTATGTACTGGACATTGGCTTTATCAACAGTAAATGTTACTCGTAGTAAAGCTGTTATTGGTTTTTGGGAGTGGTGTGTTTGTCTTAATTTTATTTTTTTGTGTGCTTATTTTAAAGAAGTTTTGATGGAGCCTTCGTTGCTCTCTCAAAGTCAGTTCCATTGTCATGGGTGGCACAATTCTTGTGGGCATTTTGACGCGGCAACATCCAACATTTAAAGTACTTAAGTATTGTTTCTTTTGCCAGCTAATTGTTTTTATTATGGCTTTTTATTGTTTGTTTGGATGTCTTGTCAAGCTAAGGAAAATGTGCTTAATGCCAAGTCAGTAATTCGTCTTCATTGCCCATTTCAAAACTGGTAAATTTTACAAAAACAAAGACTTTAAACAAACATCTTCGTCTTTGTCCGGAGCACAAACCGGGTAGCTTGTCAACCTCCCGGAAACGGGTTTCATTTAGACAATGCGCAGAAAAATTTCTAGACGAGAGTAATCCTTATTCAAGGAACCAAAGGGTCAGCGAGTTGCTGAACTGTCTGAATGATGAAGAACTTGTGGATTTAGTTTTACCAAGGATTGCCAAAATTGTGTCACCCGTCAACTTTGTACTGCACAGAACTGTTGGAACTCACGATTTTCATAGCAAATTATGCAAGTTCAGAAATGAACTGTCCCTACAATACCCAGAACTTCAAGCGCCGTTTTGTCCAGAGCCCTCACCAAGCACTGGTTTCTATAATCAGAGGCAAGTGTTAACTGAAATAGTTCAANATACGTCAAAGAGAGTCAAAATTCAGCCAGTTGAAAGAGCTGCTACTAAAAATTCCACCCTTGAAGCGAGCAGCTGATGGAGGCCTACAGGCAACTTACCCACCAAGTTTGCATGTCCATGGAAATCCCAAGGAAAGATATCCAATCCTGAAAGATCTGACTCTTCCCAGAGCCGGACAGCTAGCTTGTTTAGATCTGTTAACAACACTTCCACCGCAGAATAAAACTGAGTACGTTGTCAAAATGTACTCACTGATTCAATGTACATGTAAATTCAACACTCTCCCAGGGGAAAGAATCAAGCGCTGACGAAATCCGAAAGAATCATACGAGGATTTAACTCACAGAAGACATCCCAGTAAGTAAGCTTTTGACCTTTCACTTTCAGTCTAATTTAGAATAAATATCTCTCTTCCATGGAACGATTTCTATGTCGCAAACCTTCCCGCATGGTAGCCGACAAGCCGCCATGATTCGAAAACAGATTGAATTGGTGCGTGCGTTGGTTTACGGGATACGGCATTAAAATTTCTTTCCCCAGGCTCCCACAATGACGTCACAGATCACCTGGATATAATTATTGGCCAAGTTTGTTTTGGTCCATGAACAGAGAATGAAAGAGGCCAATATTCAGTAATCTTGACCAAACAAGCTTGGTCAATAAAGAAGACCATTTCCTTGTGAGACATAGCAGGTAATCCCAAGCAGGAAATATAGCCCGCTGCCCATCTTGCCTGCTCAGTATCACATCAGAGTGCAGGATTTTGGGCTTTCCTTTTCCACTTTTGGAACTACATGTACTCATACACTGTATAATAAGTCCTGCATATTACTATGAAGAGTGATGGCAAAAGTCAGGAGAATGTCTACACATATTGGTAATAAACCAGCGGAATATACCCGCCACAGAATGAGCACGACAATTAACAGTCATCATGCGGCAAACACTAAGTTCATAACTGAATATTTACAACCAGAAAACAAGCCTGCAATTAGCTTATGGCCATTGACAAGGGAATAATTATATTACAAGTACCTGTTATTTGTGCACTTAAATCACACTGAGTGGAACCCTGGGAGCTTTCACGCAGATGAGAAACTATTTGCTTCACCTCCAAAACAAGCTTCCTAAATGTAAATAGAACGTCAAATGTAAGATTTCATGTTTGCTATGAATCAATATACCATTTGTTAATTGCATACAGCTAACTAAGTTCCTAGCTCAGTTCCGTATACTGCTGCAGCATTACTTCTGTTCTCATGACCTGGAGTTATTGAACTCCACGAAGTCTGGAAAACTGGAAAATGTAAAGATATTCTGTGGGTCTTGTGTACAATCAACGTACATGTACCGGTACCTTTTTGTAAACAATGGTAAACAACTCTGGAACAAATTACAAGAAATTATCACATGGTTCAATCCTTGTGGCACAAGACCTATATAGACCTCAGACCTAATATGTTCACATCTCCACCTTGAAAGGACTAATGGATGGGATAAAAAAGGTAAAGTCTGCATGCGAGCCAAGTGGCCCATCAGGCCGGAGCTTATCCCGGTTTCTGTGGCATGAAGCAACTAGGAGTATTCCTACTCCCCCCTGGATGGGATGCTAGTCCATCACAGGGTTACCCCCAGCATTAAGTTTGCCAGTACCCATTTACACACCTGGGTGGAGAGAAGCACTGTGAGAGTAAAGTGTCTTGCCCAAGAACACAACACAATGTCCCCGGCCAGGGCTCAAACCTGGACCGCTCGATCCGGAGACGAGCGCACTAACCATGAGGTCACCGCGCCTCCCGGATGGTATAAACAGTGGGGGAATATATCAGACAGAAAAAACTTAGCTGAGCATAACACAACAAAAGTCTACAAGGCTGAACTAAAATGCTCCATCAGGTCTCTAACAAGGTTCATAAGTCCAGTTTAGATAGTTTCTTTACAACACTGCCACTCTTAATTGTCATGGGTAGTCCATCACTTTTATTGTGTGTTGACCTAGTTTGTGGGTTGTCAGTGAATATCCTGATGACAGAACTTAGTGGGGCTTGGGCATAGGTGTGCTGGGCTTACAAGTGGAAGTGTCTTGGTTGCTCCACAACTGTTCTTCCCAGGTTGGTGTCTTTAAAGGAACAGTGTCACGAAAGTGATGCATGCGCAGTAACGCTCTAGTGTTTTGGTTAAACTGGCAAGTTTTTTCAATTTCGTTGTGGAGTGGAATCATTGTTTTATATCGCCTTGTATCATTGCCATCCATGCTTAGATCTCTCAGAAAATGAAGTTGTTAGTTGAAGCAGTCTTTATAATTTATGTTTGTCAATTTATTTGCAACATGTTGCTGCCGGTGGCCAATTTTAGAAGCCAGTTGATGGGTGATCATGTCTGGTTGCGACGGCCTTCGACCTGGAAGTGGACAAAAGCAAATACACTCATCTAAAGAGGAGTGTGATAGAAGTTGGCAAAGAGGACACTGACAGATTAACCTAGATAACATTGTTTACTCATCATGGGTGTCTTCTAAGATCAAGTGTGGTTACTCGAGTGACTCCAAGTTTGAAAGTCATCTTCTCTCACTTGAATGGCAAAGAAGGTCAGTTTCGTCTACTGCTGTTTACTTGAATTTCATGTTTTTTACGCAAACTGTTTTGAATGTCGTATTATTAGTTTTAATCATAATGCTTTTGTTGTAGGGAGAAAGACCCAGTCGTATCGTGCGCGAAGAGAAAGAGATCGGAAGAGAGAGACCCTGCTTCATCCAAACACAGACGCTATATTGAAGGTGGGTTTTTTCATCCATTGAATTGCCTACTTTGTCTTTATTGTGTGGTACATCTCTTGATGATTTGAAATAGTTATTGCCCAAAGTTTTGTGTGAAGTCGGTAAATAACTGGAGACCATTAATATTATTTCTGCTGTTTTTGTTTTTCTGTAAAATTAGGACAGCCCCTGTCATCCTCGACCCCCATAAAACCAATGTTTACTTCTGTCCAATCACCCAATCCGTCTTTGGAGATTGCTAATATAAGGTATGTTCGATTTTTAATTTTGTTTCTTTAGCCTTGATTTATTTGTGTGTTTCTTTTTGTTTCTTGCCTTCGTTCATGTGCAACTTGAGCAATATAATAATAATTATTAGAAATAAGAATGATGGAGCAGTGGAACCCATAGATTTGCCCTGTGCAAATAGACATACAGAGTTTCTTTCTCCTTTGCATTGCAAGTATCATACATGCAAAGAAGAGAGTCACCCCTGCAAATAATTACAGGCCTTAAATAAGCTTTCTCTGTCCAAAAGTGATGTTGATGTGACTGGTATCTCAGAGTATTCTGCAAACCATAGCACTTATCAGGTTGCTGATGGGTCAATCATCCTTCAAACTGACAATGAAAAGTATCAGGATACAGATGACTCAATGTCTGAGAGAGAATCAGATGACCACACAGAGGAAACTGTACATGCACAAGACCATTCAGAACAACCATAGCTATCCCACTTCAGTATTATGTCCGCTACATCCATGCATGCAGTGCAGTTACAATATTATAAATACATCATTGATGTGAGGCATCAATGACACTCATTAGGGTCAAAGAATGTGTTGGTACCATTCTTTACTGACCCTTTGCTAGGGGGGGTTCATTGTGTCACATGTCAGTGTTTTATTTTTATTTTTCTACCTTGCTCTTATTGTCATAACTTTGGCGAGCCATGTTTTTTCTTGTCACAATTTCATTTCCTGTGTTGTCATTACTTTTTTGGCCATGTCCCTCATCAGAATTTAACCTGGCCATGCCTCGTTACTTCTTAAATGTCACATTAACAGACTAATTAATTGCATCTCTGTCTATAGGACATTAGCAGATACATTAGCAGATGCTTTAGATAAGCTAAAGGATGACTGCAAAGAGTTTGATTGTTCCAGTAATGTGTCTGATGTTGATAACAGGGAGTAAGTTATTCATATCTTTCAAGAAATGAATGTGATAATTTCCTTTAGCAGTATATTTACATCGTATCACAGCTTAATTATTAAATAAAGTACATGCAATGCCCAACCTACTTACGGTGTATTGTTTTTTGTCCAGTACACTTCATGTTAGTTGGTGATGGTATTGATTAATTATGTTAATGCATTGATAACAATGTTTACAATATGAAATTTAAGTAAATTTCCTAATGTTTATTTTGGTTTTTTTCTAGGGACTCTATGTGCGTTGTTCAACAAACTGTTGCACTGTCAGCTACCCCTCTACAAGTCGTTGCCACATCAGCTGCCCCACTACAAGCTGTCACTACATCAGCTTACCAACTGCAAGCTGTTGCTCCATCAGCCATACCACTGGAAGCTGTTTCTCCATCAGCTGCTCCACTACAAGCTGTTGCTCCATCAGCTGCCCCATTACAAGCTGTACATGTAGCTCCATCGGCTGCCCCAGGTCAAACTTATCCTAAGTTGAGTAGATCGGAGCAGTAAAACACACTGAAGGAGGAACTGTCCCTTGTGAGACAAACGAAAGTTATCTGTTCATTGGATGTTTTACTGGATGTGTTTAAGAAATGCCAGCAGCCTGGCTGCACACAGGAAACAGCCATCAAACACCACCTTAATGGCCCCAGCGCTGTCATAAAGTGGGCTCATTCTGCGGGGCATAAAGGGACATTTTCATCTTCAAAGGGTCAAAATGGCACCTCTTGTAATAATCTGCAAGCTGCTGCAAACATAATGCTTTCTGGCAACAACTTTGCCAAAGTGGAATAGATGGCAAATTTTCTTGGTCTGGCATTCATTTCAGACTCCACCTTCTATAGGATGCAGAGGCTATACTTCATTCCTGCTATAAATGAATGGTGGGACTGGCAGAGGGGGTTGTTGGAACACAAATTTCTGGGTAAAGAGGTAGTGGTTTGGGGGATGGGCAGTGTGATTCTCCTGGGCACACTGCCAAGAATCTCTGTTATTTTTTAATGGAGCTTGTCAGTGGTTATATCCTAGAGATAGAGGTCAGAGACAAGCGGCATGTTAGTTTGGCCTCTAGTAACATGGAAAAGCAAGCACTTCAAAATGCTCTTCAGAATTTGCAAGTGTCCTTAAATATTGTTGAGGTTGTCACTGATGCCTCATCTACAATCAAGCAATTACTTGGTAAGCATTACTGTACTTTGTAATGTACCCTTAGGGCAGAACAAAAAGCTCAAATCCACTTTCCCAGTGGGACATCAAATTCCTCTTGCTCCCACTATATTTTTGCAGGAACTGAGGTGTTCTAGGCAACTGAGGCCTATTTCTTTAACTCACCAGTGCAGTGATAATATTTTGTAATTAATCACTTACATTACAACAGTTACATTACTCAACTTACAATAAGGTGCTTAGACTAATTACAATAGAAGTATACAATATTTACATTAAAAAGGTTTTTTGTTACACTACACCGTGACGCATACTGCACAGATGTGCAGATGCCCAATTAACTCCCTTACAAGTTTAAATAACAAACTAAATGGTAGAAAAAATTATTTAACCTAACAATTATCCTGCGGACTTCCATAACTTTCCTTGAATTAAATGTATATAAATTATAAATTAAGCTCCCATCTTTTATAAAAATTGCGAAGCTTTCGGTTCTTTATAGCAATTATTTTTTCAACTTCTTGTTTACTGAGTACACAGTAGTATTGCTTATTTTACTGTGGCAGTTGATTGAAAAAATGTTTAATGCCAGAATCAGTAATAACCCTAAAGCAAGTGTGAGACATTTGTGTATTGGAAATCTGATTTGCAATGTTTATGTCGAAAAAATCATGTTATGTTCATGTACTGTAGGTTGCTCATCTAAAGGATATGGAAAAAATTCAAGCATGGGCTGATCACATCATCCTCCACTTCTGGCACTGTGCCAACATCTGCAAAGCCAGTGAAACAACTACTGATGATGATGTCTTGGAAATAATGAAGGTATAACAAGTGTTCATGGCAGACAAAACACTTGAAAAGGAATTGCAGTGTGCAGCTTAGGCTTTCACTGGTTTTCTGTTATTATATTTCATTGTTTATCATTTGCCTTGTACAGAGTACTTGGTTTGGACTACTCCACCATGTTTGTGATGTACATGATTGGAGTGGGGGT